TGTCGGCACTCTACCACTCGTCAGTTGGCTTAAGCTGTATGCGCAGGGGCGCAAAACTGAAAATCAGTGAGGGATCACCAGTGTTCAGCTCTGTAGTGCAGATGACATTACTCTCACATTTAAATAGCCTGAGACTAAGTTCTCCTTCTATCAGATGAGAAACTGTGTTTTAAAAGAGCTAGTTTAATTAAATTGTTTCCTTGAAGGAAAATTCCAACAGCTCAATCCTGCGACTAACAACTACTCAAGATTATCGCTGATGAGCCTAACAGGGGGTATTTGAGTCGTTGGCAGGTCTTATCCCCTCGTCATCTGGCTTACGTTTGAATTCCAATTGCTGGTAGTGGGCATTTGGGCTGGCTTCTTCCATTTCTTCGTAATCTGCGTAGTTTCCATCCACGCGGTTCTTGTCGGAATCATTCTTGTCGCTGATTGGTCCTGCTTTCCTTTTCTTTTTCAGAACTGTGAAAGCAAAACGAGTGTTGAAAAATTAATCTTCCATCCAACATGACATTGATAGGACTGGTCCCGTCCCCCGCGACATTACGCCGGAAAAATTTGAGAACGTAGCTCAATTTCTACGGTTAGGCCTACCATCCACACTAATCTGTCAAGAAAACGGAGCTTTTCGAAAACGCTCTTCAAAACCGGAGGAATTTGAAAACGCCGGCTTTTCGTTTACGTGTGGACGGAAAAACAAAGCTTTTCGTAAACCATGGGGGCACGATAATCATGTGATTCCCCTGACCAAGTGTTCTTCAAACACAAATCCAAAATCACCGGCGACTGTTGCGTTTTTAAATTCCTCCGNCTCTGTCTTGTTTGTTCAGAAAGTTCGCTCCGGGAAAGAAATAAAGGACTGCGACGAGTCAGAGGAAAAACACATGATTTGATTGGCTAGGTCACCACGTTGTTGTGTTTGAAATTGTGTCTTAATCTGTGCGGGAGTTGCTAAAAAGTGCTCAAAATTGGCTTGAAAATTAACCCTATGGGGCTGATCAGTCCAGAACTGGGGTGGATAATGGCCAGTGAAGCTGAAACTTTGGCATATAACGTAAGTCTACATAAGGAATTTATAAGTGGATTTTTAGGAAAATCGGCCGACTCTCATTTTCAAATCTCCCTGGTCTGTCAGGCAAAAGTTCTTAAAGTTATCGAGTATTGCTTACGTATTTCTTTATCTATGGCTTCATACGATGCATTAAACCCTTTGTAACCAGTGGCAGCAGATCGCAGTCTCACTTGGATAAAATTTCCGACAGAGTACACTGGATAAGGAAGTCTTGCTCCACAAATTTTAAATTCTGGAGCTCCATCATTAGAAGCGACATTGGTGATGAAAACACGGGGACCCCCAGACGATCCGAGACAACTCGGATTTTGAGATGGATCCAAAGCGAAGCTGAGGAAGGTGACTTTAATGATTCGCCGTGCAGGTACTGTGATGTTCCAGGTACAATCACTGTTTGTAGGGAAGTTGCTTGGGAAATTGGGACTTGAGAAGAATCCACTCGATCCATTGAGGAAGTCTCCGGGGGGAACACATGCTNTTTGTAGGGAAGTTGCTTGGGAAATTGGGACTTGAGAAGAATCCACTCGATCCATTGAGGAAGTCTCCGGGGGTAACACATGCTACAAGATAAGTCATAAAATAGAGCGCCGAATAAATCAGATTGTTTACAAAAAGTGGAAGACAACGGTTGTACTATATGAAGACATTATTGATCATTGCAGTTACACACACAAATTAAGCAGTGAAAAAAAATTCAGGCTTGAACGGGATACGAACCCATAACCTCTACGATACCGGTGCAGTGCTCTACCAAATGAGCTCTCGGGCCAACTGGGAGCTGGGAGCGTTTCTCGAAAGCCCCGGAAACTTTTCGGGCCCGTAAAGCTATTTTTAGTTCATCTGTATCTAAAAACAGAGAATTGTATAGGCGTGAATCTTCTTGTGTGAAGGGAACCTCTGTACACATTAAGAATACGTAAATAAACAGCTCTGTAATCGTAAGGTTCGAGATTTTGTTATGGCTTTCCGGGCCCGAAAAGTTTTCGGGGCTTTCGAGAAACGGGGTCACTTTGTGAGTTCGTAATAT